AGAGTCCCTAGGTTTATTTATTATTTTACAGTAAAAGCGTTTTTGCTTTAGCTTTTTTTTTAAACTTCAGAGGCCAATCAGCCAATCCAGATGATGTAAAGATTGTAGCTGTAGATCTCCAGGCTATGGCACCCCTTCCAGGAGTAATTCAAATACAAGGAGATATCACAGAGGTGAAGTATCAACTCATCCTTTTTTTGTACTATTATATCTGTAAAAGACCTAACAGTATAACAATGAATGGATAAATACATTAGATTATATGTAAGTCTAAATATGCTTATAAATACATAAGTGAAACATCACCACATTGACTGAGGTGAAATAGGGTATACTTTATAGTATACCTTTTTTTACTTTTTTTTCAGTTACTATTTACCCTTTACATGCCTTTTTTTGTCAGGAATTATTAATCTGTTTTTTTATTTTCTATATTGAAGTTTAGTTGTATTTTTATTCAATCTTATATAATTGGAGCGTATGTACATTTGATTAAAAAATCAACATACATACAATATTATAAGCATGAATGTATATTTAAAAAAAAATTCAAGCTATTAAAAAATAAAAACACATGATATTCAAGTCATGACTGCCACCAGCCAGTCATCATCAGAATAATACAGTGCTACAATATCCACTGGTTTGTCATTGTTTATATAAATCATACAATATGTTTACATGTGACAATGGAATCAATAAGTATGTCATGAACATGCACAAGTCTTTCATTAATCATCTTGAACCAAAAGGAGAGAGGAAAAAACAATCTCCAAACACCATGTAAACTTGATCCATTATCATTATTCATATCTCACTATTTTTTCAAATTTAAATAACTTATTGTTCATAAAATTATGTTTCTTCAATAATTTTAAATACATCCCAATTAACTAAATGTCCTGTACTAGAAATATGAAAAGCAAACAGATTTTCCTCTCTTTCTGCGTGTTTACAATATTTGATGTATTCATTAACCTTCATTAATAAAGAACATTTTGTTTATCCAAAAGAAATTTCTTACGTACATTGCATGAAATTTCATAAATACCTTGCCTTTTATTTTTATGTAAAATGTTTTTGCTATAAACAGAAAAGAACTTAAATTTTTTTAATTTATTTGTACGTAACTATAAATTTATGTTTACTTAAAAGTTTCTATAGTGCTTTTTTGATTTCTCTGTTTGTTCTTTAATTTTTTAAAGTTCTCTTAGACAAAATATTTATTAAACCTAATCTAAACCATCTATATAACAAACATTTTTTTAAATAAATTGACTCTTTATCTATTCCATCTTGTCAGAAAAAATATTTAAAACTTTCCGTATCGTAGCCTTAAAAAACACCTAGTTTTTATTAGAAATGATGATTTAAATGAAAATGTGAAAAAAGTTAAAACCATGTGTTTTTTTTCTATATACTCTAGTTTTTATTTGATTTAATTTTGTTTATTTTAGTAAGTCATAAGAAGAAAGCAAAAATATTTATCTACATCCTTTTGGCAGGAGATAAAGGAAAGACATTTTGTGAATATTGTCAAAAAGACATCAGATATGCTAGTCTTGGTTTACAGGCAAATGAATAACATTTACGAAGGAAAGTTCACTTGGAGAACTGAGATCCTCAAACTACAGCCTTTTAGATATGCTTGATTACCAAATATATACCTCATATTTTCAAAAATCTATTTAGTCTTCAAAGATGATCCAAAAGTTTTCTCTTGAGGTTCTTACAGTGTCTTAAAACATTTTCAACTGGGGCACCTTTCCCCCTTAGATTCCCTGAACAGGGATTTTAACTCTCCACTTGGATAACTCCCAGATCTTTCTTTTAGTTTTTTCTTCTTAATTCAAAATTCTCATTGTACTAAACAGGATTATGTCTGCAATATTGCTTAAATTTTGATGTAACCTATTATTCCTTAGGGTATATTGCTTCAGAAGTCTTTCTTCTTTAAAGTAATAATGAAATACTTTACAATATACCTTTTTTAAATTTTTTTTTCAGTTACTATTTACTCTTTACAGGCCTTTTTTTTGTCATGAATTATTAATCTTTTATTTATTTTTCTGTATTGAAGTTTAGTTGTGTTTTTATTAAATCTGATATTTGAGTGTGTGTAGTTTTGTAACCCTTCTTTAACTGTTAGTTTTGGACAAAATGTTTTAGAAGAGCAGTATAAAACAAGCTATTAGTAATGCAGTAGTGAATGAATAGCTGTTGGACTCTGCTAATATTATCAGGTCTCATATGTTGTGTATTAATAAACTAAAGAATAATCCATAAAAATATTGATATAACATAAAAACTACTTGTCTATATATTCATTAAAATCTACAACCCATGAAACTGTTGGTTCTAATGGGCATGAAGTTAAATCCTTTTATGTGTACATATATCTTGGTCGTCCAACTGATGGGCTGTATCTGTCCAGACAGGCATTGATTTTATTTGGCATATATATATCTGGGTTGTCTGACTGGTGGATTACATCTTTTCAGGCAAACAGTTTTGACTAGCCCATCAGTCACAAGCTGAAAGTAAATGACTAAAGAAGGAAGTGGAAAATAGAGCTGAGTTTTAGTTCCTCTCACTTTTAGGCTTAGCTGCTTATTGTTTGTTTTCTATTTCTGTATTACTCTGTGTTTAAAGATAATAAACGTGAATAAAGACATGATAATTTGTTTTGCATTGATAATTAGTGTTCAGCCCCCTTAAACTGCAGCTGGTATACATGCACCTGCCACATGCACAGAGTTAGACAACCATGATATATACATAAATTAATGTGAGATACTAGATCCAGTGTTTTATCTATGTAAAGTAGGTTTTTAGTATTCTATAACATTACCATTAGAACCTTATAAAAAATTTTGTCATTTCAATCAGGAATCCACAGCGCATCAGATTATAAGTCATTTCAAAGGAGAGCAAGCCGACTTAGTGGTTTGTGATGGAGCTCCAGATGGTTAGTTGATAGAACAGTAATACGTACATATTCATGGATAAGTTACTTTGGACAGTTTTATTTTTGATTTAACTAAAATTGCATTTTTTCATTTAAAAATTTGTATATGGTATTTTTAAGTTAGGGAGAGCTGTATGATTTCACTTACATTTTGTCAAGAAGTATTTGTAATAAATATTGTTAATAACCAACATCATAAGAAATAAAGCTGTTTCAACAAAGCATTTCAGCTGATTAATGTTTAGTGATGAATCTGCTAAACCAAGTGATTAATTTAAAATGAAATAACAGCAACTTCTACAGTAGGCAAGTTCTTATTTTAATAATCATAGCCTCTCAACTCATAGCATTGGCTCATAATTTGGCTATTTAATGAAAAAGAAACTTTTAAATGCATATACAAAATATTTATAAATAATCTCTTTTTTTTTTAAATTTTGTTTCCAGTTACAGGATTACATGATATTGATACGTACATTCAGGCTCAGCTACTGGTAGCTGTAAGTATACTTGAAAGTAATGTTCCATTTCTGTTGAAGAACTAATACATTAATCCATTCTTTTACAATTGAAAAAAAATAATTTATTCATATATATATATTCTAGTGTTTAAAAAAAATTCATTTCAGCTACACAATTGAATAAAAAAGTGTAACCTAAAAGTGGTATACTAACCATAGAAAATCCCTTAAATAAAAATACTAATGATACTAATTCTGTTGTATGTCAGATGTCACATGGACATTGTCAACCATGATGGACACTTTGAAAAAGTTAGCCTGATTCAGTGATCATCCAAATACATCATAATCATGGAGAAAGATTTTTGTGTTACTTGTAGTTTAGTTTTCTTTCAGTGACTAATTTGCTTTGGCCCACCCTATAATTTAAATATTACATTTTAAACATTTACGTTTTTAGGCTTTGAACATAACGACCCATGTGCTTAGACCTGGAGGAACATTTGTGGCTAAGGTATGTTTTCTCTTTAATTTTTTAAGTGAGATCAATTATATGAAATATAAATCTTTATGTACATTATACTTGAGCAAAATTTAAAAACAATTAGCCTTTAAAACAACATCCACATCTAGACGTTATAACTGTTTTTTTAGATTACTTTAAGAACAGACATATTTGTGACATATATAGAATGTTCCAGTTAATTTTTAAACATCTGGAATATGTTATGAGACAAAATTTTTGAAATACTAAGTAATACTTAAAAAGCTAAGAAGAAGTAAATTATTTTTCATACAGCTAATTTAGTTGTGGCATAGTAATAAAACTTTATGATTGGATAAGAAGATCCAACAAAGCACAATCATTTTGATTCTAGTTTGTAAAACCCTTTTTTATAATAATATATTTTTATGATTTAATAATAATTTTGCTCACTTGTAACTCTGATGAACACATCATGTTTCATATTTAATCAAGTGAAAAAGGTTATGTCTTCTTTTTTTTTATCAACTTTACTGCATCATTTATATCATCATAATGTGAGAAAATTAACATGACCCATTGAGTCAAGGATTTTTAACATTTTCCTGGCTTCACCCTTCGTTTAGTCCAGTACGAAATAATTTTCCTAATTGTTTCAACAATTATGAACCTTTAAAAAGGTTATAACACCTTAATATCAAATGTATCATATGAAACAATAAAACTACATATTTTGCATCTGTAGTGTCAAGCACCTTTTTTAACTATTTAGCTCACAATAAGTTTCATTGATACATTTCTAGTAGTTGTTAGAACATTTAAAAAAAATTCCTTCAGTTTTTTACTCATTTATTCAAAGGACTCCATAAAATTTTGTGTACCTCTAATGCTTTTCACTTTTAATCTTTTCTAGATATTCAGAGGCAAGGACATCACTCTGCTGTACTCTCAGCTAAAGATCTTTTTTCCTCGGGTAACAGTGGCAAAACCAAGAAGTAGTCGAAACTCAAGTATAGGTAGGAATTTCTCCTCATCATAATTATTCCAGTTGACTTTTATTGATGTATACTCTTTAACTATTCGATAATTATGTGATTCTTGATGAAATGTGGTAACTAGCAAAATATATATAATCATAGCCATATAATTCAAATAACCTTGACTTAATCCTGTAGACTCCCAATGGAGCATAGAGCCGCAACAACACCTTGCCAACGGTCTCTGTTCTGGGCTGCTCTCCTCAGCTGGGTCCACGCCATTCCGGCGGCCTTCGCTTCACTCCCGACCGATCTTCTCCACATCTGTTTTGGCCTCCCAGCTTTTCTTTTCCCTTGTGGGTTTCAGTCCAAGGCCTGGCTTGTAACATTGTCAACTGGTTTTCGCAGTGTGTGTGTCCGATCCAGCCCCATTTTCTTTTCCTGATGTCTTGGCTGACTGGGTTCTGGTTGGTCGTTTTCCATAGCTCTGTGTTTGAGATCTTCTCTGGCCACCTGATGTTTAGGATGTGTCGCAGGCACTTGTTGATGAACATCTGTATCTTGTTGGTGATGGTGTTCGTAACTCGCCATGTCTCGGACCCATACAGGAGGACTGCTTTTACATTTGTGTTGAAGATACGGATCTTGCTGCGCAGGGATAAGGCTTTGAAGTTCCAGATGGGTCGCAGGGTGTTGAACGCGAGCCTTGCTTTGTTGATCCAGCTCCTAACGTCTTTGTCTGCACCGCCGTCTCTGCTTACTATGCTTCCAAGGTAAACGAAGCGCTCTGTTTCCTTGATGTCTTTTTCCTGCAGCTGCAGTGGGCACTCTTGTTTGTTGTTCAGCCGCATCACCTTCGTCTTTCTGGTGTTGATCTTCAGGCCGGTCTTTCCTGCCTCCTCACCGAGCCGGGTGAGCTTGGACTGTGCATGCTGTTGCTCAAATAACCTTAATTCTTGGTAATTTTGATTATAATAGTTACAATCACAAAAAAAAAAGAGAAGGGAAAACATCAACAAATTGCAAGCTTGTTTTAATGTAATATTTCTAAATCACAATAATTATCATATAGTAGAATAGAATTGTGTGACTGGATTTTATTTCACACATTATATTCACCCTAATATCTTCCTTTATCACTTATGTACGTGTCCAAGAAAATGGTGTATTTTGGATGTGAACAAAGTTATCGTAATTGACTTGGAAAGTACGTATAACCCTTTCTGGACTAGTTAGCACCTTACAGGTGTTGGTGAAACCTGCATATAAAATTTCAAAATTTAAGTGAAAATAATAATTATAACTCTATTTTTATTTTAAAATGACATCTTGTCATTTTGTAGCATTTATTTTGTGTAATTTGCAAATCAAAATGTCAAAACATATTCAAACTTGCAACACTACCCAAACCATAGGTGCTAAGGAACTATCATCCTTGAAAATACAATTAACCAAATCTTGTTTTGCTGTGTGAAGATTTGTTATTTCAGGTCTTTATTCACATAACATGCTGTGAGGTCATTAAACAGTGTGAACAACCACTAATGAAGAACAGCTCTGAAAATAGTTATAGGCAAAGTTTAAATACCATTGAAGAGAGCAGGTTATCAGCTAAGTACATCAATGAAAGTAAATAAAGTGGTGTGAGAAGTAATTTGTGGTTTCATCATCAAGTAATTAGAGAAAAACAACAACATTTAGATGGCAGTTTAGAAGGAGCAAACCACAAAATGGGAAATTATTTTATAGTTTCTTCAAACTTTTTTTTTACATTCCTGAAAATATTTTTTGTGTTAAATTATATTTGTTGAAAATGATGGTATTTTTCATCGGGTAAACTTTATTAGGTTTAGAGAGTATGGTAATGATGGCAAAATATTATGGTGACTTGAATCCTTACTTACTCAGTATTGTTAAGTTTATCATATTTGAACAATGCACATAAATAAGATAACTTATAATTAATTGAAAACAAAGTATATTTATTATTATATACACTGAGTGGTCACAAGTAAATAGACACCTAATTTTTCGTCAGTTAACTGATTTATGCT